ATCTACTCAATGCGTAGAATCAATTAACGCAATAGTTCACCAACATGTTAACTCACATTCAACATTAATGGAATTTTTCAATAGTATGCAAGATATATTAGCTTCTGAGCTACAAAAATCTAAGTATCGTAATTATTTAGATAGTTTACCTTTTAACACTGTATCATTATCAGCAAATCAAGTATTTCCAAGATTAGTTGAATCTTTGAAATCAATTTTAACAGATAGAATGTTTGAGATTCAGAAGGCTCAAATTGATATTTGCTTTGAATATTATTCATCGATGGTTTCACCTGATCTATATTTGCTATATGATAGAGTAAAATTTGTATTAAAGTATTGGATTAATTTGTGTTTAAAATAAAAACCTATTTAAGGTAGGTTAGTAATGCTAGAAAATAATGTGATCTTGTGATCATGAAACTGTAAAATTTTTTGGCATTACTAATCTATATCTGATTTGAATTATAGAAATATTAATGCTTTTTTTTTTTTTTTTTTTTTTTTTAGACTGATATAAATGATTCTTCTACCTGTCTTGAAGATGTTGTAGATAGATCTCAAGTTGCACTTAAGTCTGTTATTGAACATGTTGATCTTACACATGTTATAGAAATTTGGGAAGTTCGACATATGTCAACTAATTCGACATTAACTAATTATATTGTTTTACTTGAGGATTATTCGCATATTTGCACATGTCTGCTTTTATTTAGTAAAGAAATTATTTGTTGCCACTTCTTTCAAGTCATGTTGAAATCAAATCATGCTATATTTTCTATTTCACTAGTTAAAAGGTGTTGGTACAAAAAAAGTGCTAATTTAGATAATGTTGACACTTTCTTTACTCATTTTGAAGTATCGGATGAAATAGATAATGCAGCAATGGTTGGTTTTTCTCAAATGCAAATACCTATGAATCAAATTCGAAATTTGAGACAAGATGATTTAAATGAAAATTTAGAAATTGACTCAGCAATTACAAAATGACAAATTTATGGAGAGTGTGCAGCATTAGGCTGAAAGCTAGCATCACTAGCAGCTGAATTTAATCTAACGCATATTGCAGCAACACTACAAGGTTTAATTCAACAAGTTGAAGAATCTAATATTATTATATTAAATGATACCAATAACCGTGTAGTTGAAAATCCATTAAAGGCTAACACTCGTGGAAGGCCATATAAAAGATTAAAGGCATTTATAGAAGAAAATTCAAGGGCTTTCAATAAAGTAACTAATAACTCAAATGAAAATTATACTTGTCGAAACTGTAATCAAGATGGCTATAATTCAAGAAGCTGTGTTGCACCATGCAAAATTTGTCAAGAAAGTGGTCATACATATTTACATTGCTCAAACAAATAGAACATGTAATTTAGTTGTAGTTCAATTTAATAAGCAACATAAAATGAATATGTTTACAGATAATTATATAGAATGTAATTTCAGATGGAATTTTTAATATATTGATTTTAAATTTGTTTGTGCGAAAGATTCATAATTAGAGCCATCAGTTATTTACGATATATTTTTAATTTAGTGTAATTTTTTTTTATCTGTTAACTTCAATAAAATGTGAGTTGCATTATCTGCTATAAAGGAATAATATTATGATATCTATAATATTTTGAATCACAATATAGTAATTTCACTAAATTATGCAATATTTAAGATTAGGATTACTAATATGAATTACTCTTTCTTTTTACTTTAACAGTATCGAATCTACAAAAATCAAAATAAAAACAACGATCAAAATATTTTGCTTTAGTGATTATATTAAGAGAATTAATGGCAACTTTTCAATTTATTATTCTAAAGTACTATTGCTACGTATATGATAAGTTGGTTTTATTTATACATTTGGTTTTAACATTAATTTAGGACATGTGTGCATGCATATGTATGTATATAAACATTTATAATAGGAGTGCTGTAGACTGTATTTTATCTATATATATTTTTAAAAATGTAGTACTATGTACTCTACTACGTAAGAAAATGTTTGGTATTATATATATACGTATATTAATATTGTATGTTTAGTATGTATAGAACGTATAGACTATTAGCTACGTATAATATGTAGTACATATATGCATATTATTAATTTTTGATTGGTAGATTATTTATATAGCTACGAAATATGATATAAAAATATATCGATATTAGTATATAACTATATTATAAGCAATATGTATTTCTAATTATTATCACGTGATATTATAAAATATATATTAGGAATGGTATTTAATAAAACCTATGGAGATAGTTATTAGAAATGCTCATTTTAAAAATATAATAAAAACATAAAATCTTAGAAATTTTTTAAAAATATAAATATATAAATATTATTAAAAAATATATTTATTTACTAAATAATCATTAGTTTTATCAAAGCAAGAAATTATATAAACTTGATTTTTAATTGCTTTAATATCAATTATATTAAATAATTCAGTTAATTGAAGTCTAGGACACCTATAATAATATGAATTCTTTTTAGATTTAAAATCATACTATTGAATTAATGCAAGATTTAATATTTTTTTATTAGATTCAACTTTTATTAATAAATAGGAAAAATCTAATCTTACACATAGTGTATATACACAGGTCTGTAATTGTTATACAATCAATACAGATTTTTGTCAATCATATAACAATTACATCAATTACATTATATATTGTAAAAAAATAGAACTTATACTAGTTTTGATGTTAGCATTTTATATTTCTCTTTCTTCTATTAGCTTTTTAGCTTCTATTGAATTTTGTGCTTCTTGAGTGATATAATACAAGAAAAAAAACCCCCAAAATGAATAATACAAACTTTAATGCTATTTTTGATTCTTATTTATTGTCTCTAACATATACTCATGTGAGATATTTTAATACAGTTTCATAATATTTGCTATTTAATTGTGCAAAATATATAAAATAACAAACTCACAAAAATTATATTTTGCCTTCATTATTTAGGCCTTTGAATGAACAACAAATGATCTGGCTTGTGCCAGTAATTTTAATGATTTAAATGATTTAAATGCTTCTTTTTCATCATTGCAGTTCTAGGTAATATAACTTTATTTTTTATATTGTATTTCTCAGAATGTATCTATTATATCCTGCCTTTTAGAAAACTTAATATATCAACTTTGTTTTTATTATTTAGGCCTTTAAATGAACAATAAATGATCTGACTTGTGCCAATAATTTTGATGACCTAAATGCTTCTCTTTTATATTCATCACTGCAGTTTTAGGTACATATACTGTATTTATCACTTATATATTGTATTTTTTAGAGTGTATCTTTTATATTTCACCTTTTTTAGGCTTCTGAACAAGCAATGAATACAGCTAATACGAATTACAAAGATGTATTTTATATAATAAATGCTTTTTCATCTCTATCATCTTCATCTCAGGTTTATGTGATATAATTGCTATTTTATTTGCATACTTCACACTAATTAAACTATCTAATAACCTTTTTGCATATCTCTTTTTCATTAAATAGACCTCTGAATGAACAAAAATTATCCAACTTGCATCAGTAATTTTAATAATCAAAATGCTCTTCTTGTATCTTTGTCACTGCAGCTTTATATAACTATATTTATTGCCCTTTGTGTTGTGCTCCTCTAAGTATATTTTATATATTCAGCTTTTTTAGGCTTTTAAACAATCAAAAAATATAACAGATATGAATTTCGAAGATGAAAGAAATAATTTTTTATTTTTCTCATCCTCACTTCAGGTTCATATAATACATCTACTGTTTTGTTTTAGTTACTTTACCTAATTAAACTATTTAATTTTTTTTTTTTTTTGTAATCTAGGAAAGTAATTTTACTTTTTATAAGAACTTAAATGCTTCTTGCTCTTTGTCACAGATTTAAGTATATGTCTCATCTTTTTTATTCTCACTTCAGGCTCATGCGATATACCTACTGGCTACTGTTCATTTAGTTAACTATCTATTTATATTTTTTATTTTTATTTTTTTTTGCTGTTTAGACTTTTGAGAAAACAAATAATGTTGAAATAGAATGTGAATCTACTTTTTATAAGAACATAAATACTTGTTCTTCATCACAGATTCAAGTATATATCATATTTTTTACTTCAGATTCATGTGATACACCTATTGCCTACTCTAATTATAGTTTTTTTTTTTTGCTGCCTAGACTTCTGAGAAAACAAATAACATTGAAATGAAACATGAGTTTACTTTTCATAAGGACACAAATGCTTGTTATTCATCACAGATTCAAGTATATATTTTATATTTTTTACTTCAGATTATAGTTGTTAGATGAAACCCAAAAAAGGAAATTATAATAATGAACTTCATTGTTATAATTTTCTTTTTTGGGTTTTGCCTAACAAGTATACTTCAGATTTATATAATACACCTACTGTCTACTGTTTCATTCAGTTAACTATCTAATTATAGTTTTTTTTTTTGCTGTTTAGACTTCTAAGAAAACAAATAATGAACATGAATCTACTTTTCATGTGAACATAAATGCTTCTTGTTCTTCATCTTAGATTTAAGTATATATCATCTTAGTTATTATTTTTTTGTGTTTTTTTATATCTAATATAAATAACTTCTATTTGGTTAGGCTTTTGAATCAAATATGACCTTAAGTGATACTACTTCATATGATGATAATGAATCAGAAAAATCAAATCCTTTGGAATTAAAATCTGGCTTTACCTTTCTTAGCTAGGAATTATTTAAAAATTGGCTTCATAGATTTGCATTGAAACAAGGCTTTAATTATAAAATTAGGACAAGTGAGACAGTTGAAAGTATATTGCAAAGGGTTACATATGAATATATAAAATCAGATACAAATAATCCACAAGTTACCTCAGATCCAATTTAATGGCAAAATACTGCTTCTCAATGAATAAACTGACCTTGAAGACTTAATGTTACCTGCCAAAGACTAATAATATTGTTAAAATTAATACATTTAACCTATGATATATGAATTAGCTCCATATTTTCAAAAATTAACAGCTAAAATGTTAGCAGACATTAAGAAGTATGTGATTAAAGATCAAATGGATTCAAAATCTATTTACCTATTGCTTAAGCATAACTACTCAGAAAATCCAATTCATAAACATGATTTATATAACACAGTATATCAATTTCAATATGAGAATAATTTAGGTAATTTGGATGCTTTGCAGATGCTTTAGATGTTGTTAGAATAAAAGAATTTAGAGCCTCTTTGAGTTGTAAAACTTTGACTAGAACTAATTTCAAAAAAATTAAATTCTCTTTTATGGATGTCTCCTATGCAACAAGATATATATAGCAAATTTTGTAATATTATAATATTAGATACAACTTACAATACCAACTGGTTCCAGATGATGCTTTGTATTTTAACTATTATTGATAACAATTATAAAACTCAAATTGTAGCATATGCTATTATTAAGGATGAAACATTGGACACTTATAGATGAATATTTGAAAGTATCTATAATAAGACTGGCATTTTCCTCAAAGTTATCTTTACTGATTCTGACCTTTTAATAATCCAATTAATTAAAGAGGTTTATCCCAATTTTTAGCATCTTTTATATATTTTCTATATCGATTTAAATCTTAGAAAAAAGCTTAAAGGTAAATTAGGCAATAACTTTGAAGAATTTTGTTACACATTTTATTTATGTTGGAATTCTCTATCAGAAGAATTATTTGAATTGCAATGGGTTCAATTAATTGAAAAATATCCTATAGTAGCAAAATACTTGCAAGATACACTTTATATTACTAAAGAGTCTTAAACAATTCTCTGGATATATAAACAATTTATAGCAAAAGCTTAAAGCATATAGAGAATTGAATGTATTAACAAATATATATATAGCAAAGTGGATCTCTGTGTGATTTATTGTTAAGCATCAAGAATTATGTAAAAAATAAAGAACATATTGCAAGTTTTGATACTAAACAGAATGTACTACCTATGGTTGGCATGCCTATACTAAATACCTGATTTTTTGGACAAATAGATAGTATTATTAAGAAGTATTTGACTCCTATTATGCTTGGAAAACAATGAGATTAGATGAATTAATCAGTATGCTATGATGTTATTAGAGTTATGAAGTAGAGACAGTTACTTAATGCAGAAACTGATAATAAAGAGATATGTGTTAAAACTAGAGAACAAGAGCAAAATATATGACAAATTCTCTTTAAGTCTTTGATTAAAAATATATCACAGGAATTAATTATTGAAGTGTAAAATGTACATGCTATCAGATCAGAAGAAATTGGCTATTATGTAGTATTGCTTGATGAAAGTACACATATATGTACATGTCTTCTCTTAATTAACAAAAGATTAGTGTATTAGCACTTTTTCTGTATTGGTACTTACTTTCAACATGCAGTATTTCACATAACTATTATTTTAACATGTTGGTATTTAGAAACTGATATTTAAAAGAATAAACTTTTATAAAGATATTCTCTTATTTCAGTATGCAATATAACAGAACTGAGAAATGATATAGCATTTAAAGATACTATTAATTTTCATTATTTTTCTTTAATTCAATCTAATTCACTTATCTCTTAATCTACAACAAGTTCATCTAATACTAATGCTAAAGCTATCTATGCAGAATTACTTGGATTATCTAAAAAAGCTATTAATCTTGCTATCAGGGTTAATATTCAACAAGAATTATCAAATACTTTAAAAGATTTTATTCATAAAACACAGGACCAAATAAATTATCAAGATAATGATCAACAAAATAATCATTCTACTGCTGATATTAATAATCCAGCTATCATCAAGCATAGGGGAAGACCTTCAAAAAGACTTAAGTCAAATATTAAAGAACTTTTACATAAGGAAAAATGAATATTACAAGATAGTACAAAGGCTAATATAAAGAATGATATAACGAATTCTGTAAAAAGCCAAAAATGTGAGAAATGTAAATAGTATAGTCATTATGCAACAACATGTCAAAATTGATTTTATAATCGCTTAATAGTTTAGAGTTATAATAGAATAAGAAACTATGTAGATTTTGGTGAAGTATTCAACCTATCTTTCAGTTTAGTTATAGTTAAGTATCTTTTTATAGTTTAGAGTTTGTACAAATTTTTACCAATGTTCTTAATATATGTTATATAATTTTTTTTTGACATCAATCATATATGCTAAATATATTTAGTAATACTTCACTGACTCTTTATAACAAATAAGAGATATTATGAGCTTGGTTTGATATGCATGTATAACAATTATAAAAACTAATTACTAAATAAAACTAGACAATCAAGATTAATATATCACATTATATTAGACTAGCTAACTTAAGCAATTATGAATTACTATAAAGAGCTATATTAAAGACCTAAGTCTATTACAATGTAAATATGTATATACTTTTTTTTTTTTTTTTTTTGGAGTTAAGGTGAGGTCATGCCTCAGGTCTGTTTATTCGAACATATTGTTACAGTTTG